CACAGCTCTCTACCCAGGGGGACAGCTTGAGGCTCTGTCTCAAAAAAAAAAAAAAAAAGTCTCCCTAATAAAGATTTAATGGCCCTATCCTTTGAGTACTGTGAAAGTAAAGCTTTTTTGTTTTGTTTTGTCTTTGCAGTTTTTGCCCGGGGCTGGGTTTGAACCCACCACCTCTGGCATATGGGGCCAGCGCCCTACTCCTTTGAGCCACAGGCGCTGCCCTGAAAGTAAAGTTTTTATAAAATTAAAACAAAAGAAGAATTAAAGCAAAAAGAGGCAGGGACTATAGAACTGTTTTTTAAACTAAGATAACTCAATTCTAAGAAGGAAACAATTCCCTTTCGGAGAAAGCTGCTTAAAAACTATGCTATCTGGATTTGAGATGTTGAGAGTCTGTTAAAAGTATTCCTGAATTCAAATGTGATAATCAGCTACAATAATCAAGTGCCAGGTGAGAGGTGTTCTAGGCCCTTTACAGGGACTGTTACTATCTTCCCCATTTTACAGATAAGAAAACTGAGGGGAAAGAGATTTAAAAACTCAGTTCAGGTCACACTGATGTTAAAGGACATCTCTATGCCTGCTGTTTTGCTGCTGAAAGGGGACCTGACATATTCATTCCATGAAATTCAAAGAAATAATCCGTTTGTCTGGTCTTTCTCTCAGGTAGCAGATGCCATAAATTCCTGATGTGAGATGAGGCTGCCACTACAAACTGAGTAATCTTGAGATCAATACCCAAGATAAGATAATCCACCTGTCCGTGAGATCAGGCCTATTTAACAGATCTGGATGCTGTCCTCATCAAAGACATTCAAATCACTGCTGAGCTCCTAAACGAGAGTCGCATCTCCTTCACAGATATTCTTTGCAGTAGACATCTTCAAAAGCAAAAAGCTGGCTCAGCACCTGTAGCTCAGGCAGCTAGGGCACCAGTCACATAACATACACTGGGGCTGGCAGGCCCCTCGAACCCAGCCCAGGCCTGCTAAACAACGACAACTACAATAAAAAAAATAGCTGGGCGTTGTGGGGGGTGCCTGTAGTCCCAGCTACTTGGGAGGCTGAAGCAAAAGAATCTCTTAAGCCCAAAAGTCTGAGGTGCTATGAGCCCTCAGCACTCTACCAAGGGTAATAAAGTGAGACCCTGTCTCAATAAATAAATAAATAAATAAATAGCAAAAAGCTCCCAAGTTTTCACTCTACACAAATCTAAAAGACGTTCCTCTACTACAGACAGAGCAGCTTTTCAAGTTCTTTAAGCTTAATTCAGGAAAGGGAAAAATTGAAATGTTACCCTAAAATTGAAATTATCAGTCTCACTAATCACATCACAGTGGGACAATTTCAACATATTTACAACTCTTCAAGCCATGGTTTAAAAAAATAAAAAATAAAAAATAACTCCAACCAAAAGCACTCCTAGAAAGTGCATAAGACCTTCTTTTAATTACAAAGTTAAACCTGCTTTCACAATTCTGCAGGCGTTAGATTTTAGCATTTGGTGACTGACTAGAGAAAACAGTGAAACTTAAAGTGCTGTTCTCTCCTACCAGAGACAAGGCAGAAAGGAAGAAATGCAGGTGATCACTGACAGAGCACAGCCGCGTCAGGTCACAGCACAGGAAACCAGAAGCAGGACACACCTACCTTGAACCTTCAGACTTGCAAAAGCACCTCCCAGCCTGCTTCACATTACACTCAAATAACTGAGACACCACCCACAGGACCCTTTTGCTGAAGATTGACCAAGTATCCTCAAGAATTATTCCCTTGGCTTCACTAAGCAGCTCTACATAGAGTGTGGGGCTCCAATAACAAGCTCATGAAAGTGGTCTCTGCATTCTTAGCTGAACATGGGGAGGGGGATATAATTTAGGCGAAGAAAAAAACTCACAATATATATTTTAGCACATTGACTACCACACAAAAAAATAAAAAATTAGCTCCAAAAATTTTCCTTGGAGCCATAATATTTATTATGAAAATAGAATAAAAACTTAGAAAACAAAACGATCCTAAAACATATACCAATTAAAAAGCAATATAAAAACTTGAAAGTTAATAATGCAAAAAGTAATGTGAAAACTTGAAAAATAGTTCATAATGCACATGGCAGTTAATGTATTAACTACCTTCTTTTCTCTTTAGGGGAAAAAAATATCTAAAGGTCTTAATGGACCAAAAATACCCAGCAGTTCTGTCTATGGCCTTGAGCTCTACACCTGTTGTTATTATCTCCATGACTTCTGTAGCAGGATGACTAAGCCATTACAGGCAAGTTCATTCAGCATTCATGGATCTAATCCTCCCAAGATCTTTCCCTCTTCACTGGTACTAACATACATAAGCAAATCAAACTTAACTCGTTCAGAAAACTTCATCAACCAAGAAAATAAGAAATAGCCCCATACCCTGAATGACCTGTTAAAAGTGACCTCTAGAGTTAGCTGGAAATTGTGAAAAAGACCCAGGCACAGGCTCGGCACCCGTAGCACAGTGGTTACAGCGCCAGCCACATACACGTAGAGTGGCAGGTTCAAACCTGGCCTGGGCCAGCTAAACAACAATGACAGCTGCAACAAAAAATAGCTGGGTGTTGTGGCAGGCGCCTCTAGTCCCAGCTACTTGGGAGGCTGAGGTAAGAGAATCACTTAAGCCCAAGAGTTTGAGGTTGCAGTTGCTGTGAGCTATGAGCTGTGATGCCACAGCACTCTACCAAGGTAGACATGGTGGACTCTGTCTCCAAAAAAAAAAAAGGGCAGCACCTGTGGCTCAAAGGAGTAGGGCGCCAGCCCCTTATGCCTTAGGTGGCGAGTTCAAACCCAGCCCTGGCCAAAAACAGCAAAAAAAAAAAAAAAAAAAAAGACATAGAAGTTAAAGTCTGTTACAAAATAAAATTTTATCTAAGTGTTCCAGAAATCAACCAATCATTGTAACCCATTAATGATGTTCAATAAAAGCCATATGTATTCAATAAAATCAGAAGGAAATGTCTCATGCAAGATTTTGGACAATAGATTTTATACTATATTTAAACATTAGTCAAGCCGAACTCAGAGGAAAAGGTAACAAATTGCTCCTGCTTTCTTTAAAGACTGCAAAAACAAGTGGAGCTCACCTGGCCGGTGTCTGTTGGCTGCTTCAGCAGGAAGTGAGCTGCCCTGGAACCGCCGAGCTCCATTCTTACCACCAGTCCCACCAGGATAGTGGTAAATGACAGAAGCTGAACACAACCCTTCAAGGGCAGCTGGGCATTAAAAAAAAAAAAAGTATAATTAGTAATGTTAGTGGTCCATCATTAGCTCAAACTAGTGGTTAAGAATGATTTGAACAGTTGGATTATTTGGAAATGTCCATTTTTCCCCAAAACAAAGATAAAACCTAAAGATCACAAGTTTTGTTGCAAATAGGAACTTGCCACCTACTTTCCCACCCACATACCAAGGTGGCCACACAGAACATTCCTACCATGCACAAGGCCTGGCTCCTCACTCATTTACTCATGTGACCAACATTTTTACATACACTGTGTGCCAGACTCTGTGCCAGGTTCTAGAGCTATAGAGATGTGTAGCAGAAAGTGTTCTAGATTGAAAATATTTAAGAGTAATACCACCAAATCAGGTCCGGAACACCTTTCCATACCATATATTCTAAATGCACCTGTTCATTTTGGGGCTGAAGCAAACACTTGTACATCTATCTCTTCCTCAGAGGCAGCTACACCTACCTGCGGCACATCTGGTTCTTCCCTCATTGACAGTTACATCCTGATAATCTCAAACTAGGCCACACATCTTATAAATTGTGCTACAGTATTCATCTTTATCATCTTTATTCATTAATTCAATAGTTCTTAAACTTTTGGTCTCAAAACTCCTTGATACTCTTAAAACTTGCTAAGGATTAGCCACGTACAGTGGCTCCCACCTATAATCCCAGCTTCACTATAATTCTGGAACATTTTTATCACCCAAAAGAAACCTAATGCCTACTACCAGTCACTCCTCATTCTCCTTCTCCCCAGCTCCTGGCAATCAGGAAAGCTGCCTCCATCCATTTGCCTCTCTGCACACATCACATAAATGCAATCACATGATATGTGGCCTTTGGTATCTGGCTTCTTTCACTTAGCACCATGCTGCAGCGTGTATCAGTATTTCAGTCATTTTTAAGGTTGAATAATATTTCACACCCTGCTTATTCATTCATCATCTGATATATAGAGGAGGTTTTAGAGAATGAGTTAAGAGATGAAGACCATGGGGAACAGCATTGTTAGCAGAGGGCAAGACGTTCTGAGCACACGAAGAAGGCCATGCAGGGGTCATGCAGGAAAAGGGTGTGGAAATCCTCCTCCAGAGGACAGCACCAAGGCCAGGGAGGAGCACAGAGAGGCAGCAAGGGTGCTTCCCTAGACACTCCTCATGGCAACCAACACAGGCCAGCCAGCTTTTCCCCTCATCCTTTCTTTTTAGAGACTTTGTTTTCCTGCTTCCTCTTATTTCAAATAACACCTTATTTCAACACTTAAAATAATTACATATCAGATCATCTTCCTCAGATAATCTTACCTCCCAGCCACAGAAAGTCATTCACAGAGCGGAGCAGTTCCACCGACATGTGGTAATGCACCAGGGAGTCCTGCAGCATCCCCGCCTGAAGGCATAAGTCCCCCACGTGTTTCCGCATGCGTCCTTGGCACCGCTTCTTGTAATGTCTACAAAATAAATGCAACAAAAATGCATCATTATTACCACATGACTCCCACCTAAAACCTGACAAGGCACTATTCAATTCTCTCACTACTAAAAAATTGCTAAGAAGGCAACATTAGGTTCTATAATTGAAAGCCAGCAATAAACACTGCCAGTGATGTGAGCTAGAGTGGTCCTGACTTCAAAAATTGACTGCCAAGGGATTTATTAGAGGTGATAGGTACATGGGACATCTACCACTTCACTTATACAATGAGAATAGGGTTTTTCTTTTAAGATTTTCCAATTGCAGCATTAGCATAAGAAAGTTTATGTTTCAGCTTTTTAAAAAATCAATTATGTTCCTCTTTCTTAACTTCAAACATATTATTATTTTATAAAGAGAGATATGCTGCATATTATTAGCCAACCATTTGGCTTTAGCAAACAAGATCTTTTTTTTTTTTTTTTTTTGGAGACAGTGTCTCACTAAGTCACCTTCAGTAGAGTGCCATGACGTCACAACTCACAGCAACCACAAATTCTTGGGTTTAAGCGATTCTCTTGCCTCAGCCTCCCAAGTAGCTGGGAATACAGACAGCCACCATAATGCCTGGAACAAGAACTTTTTTTTTCCCTATTTCAGAGCAAGATTTAATACCATTCTCAGAGGGCAGGGCCTGGGGTACTTGCTAACAGCTCACACTGGCAAGGATATGCTATTAAATAATGCAAGGGCTTCTGATTCTGTACCAATTCAGAAATCAACGCAACTAACTATTCTGAAATCTTCATCATTTTAAAATATTTCTCATCTTTTAAATAATAAATTCCTTAAGAGATTTGACTTTTTTTTAAGAAAAATGACAGCTGCATTAAATGTTCCATCCCCAAGAAAATTTCTCTCACCCTATGGAAATCCAGAAGATGTGACATTTCTAACTAAATGAATGTTACTGACAGATCTGAATATAAAGCTAAATGCCATCAGGTCTAACTCTAACAAGTTCAACAAACTCTTTGACTACTCTGGAATTTAGCTTTTTTTTTTTTTGCGTTTTTTTTTTTTCTTTTGGGCGGGGGCCGGGTTTGAACCCATCACCTCTGGTATATGGGGCCAGCACCCTAGTCCTTTGAGCCACAGGCACCGCCCTGGAACTTAGCTTTTCTGTTCCAAATATTGCTTGGACCAGGATAGTGACCTAAGGCAGAGAGGAGGGATGAAGAAACCCAGCCGTCACATGCCCTCTTCCTAATCAGCCACCAGTGTCAGAAGGGCCCCTGCTAACCAACCCCCCCCCCAGGAGACACTACGTCTGTGCTGCTCCGGCCCTCCCTGGCAGACGTGGCCACCAGACAGTGTCAGAAGGGCCCCTGCTAACCAACCCCCTCCGAGGAGACACTACGTCTGTGCTGCTCCAGCCCTCCCTGGCAGACGTGGCCACCTCGACAGCCTCTGTCTGGTCTCCCACCCTCCCCACTCTGTTGTTTCTCCCTTTGTTGCTTCTATACACGCAGCCAGAGTGGCCTTCCCAGTGCACACCAGATTATGTCCCTCCGCCACTTCAAACCCTTCCACAAGCCCCAACTCAGCCCTGGGGAGACACATGGCTCACGAGTGCCTGTACTGACCAGCCTCACCACAGCCTGCCCTCTGACCTCTTCTCCCCACATGCCACAGCCTCTCCAGCACCAGGCACCATCTGCATGGACCTCACAGTGCTCCACGCTTCTTCGGGCTCATTTCAGCTGCCAGTCTCTCAAGGAAGACTTCCCTGTGTCCAACCTCTGCACTGTGGGTTAGGTTTCCTTCCTGTGTTCTAGAATATTTTATATAAATCAGTTTCTCATATCTGTAAGCTCCAAAAAGGCAAGTATGTTTTGCTTACTATTGTATGTCCTAGCCGAGCATTCTGGAGGGTGCCTGTAGTCCCAGCTACTTGGGAGGCTGAGGCAAGACAATCGCCTAAGCCCAATAACCGGAGGTTGCTGTGACCTGTGACACCACAGCACTCTACCGAGGGTGACAGAGTGAAACTCTGTCAATAATTAAATAAATAAACATTGTATGTCCATTCCTCTCCCTTAGATACTCAAAATGTGTTTGTTATGAATAAACAAGTGAACAGATGGGTCTCAAAGGGACAGACTGCTCTGGCTCATCCCAGTCTCTTCTTTTGGCAGAACTACCAGCAGAGGTAGAATCAAGAACGCTTTACCAAAGGTCACTCCCTGCTAAAGCTCCTCACTGACTCCCTCTGTCATCAGTTTTAATAAAAATCGAGCTCCTTTATAGTTCATGTCTTAAGTTTAAATCTTTTATCCAGTGAGTCAATTTTTGTGAAAGGTGTGGGTCCAGTTTCAGTCTTCTACAAGTCGCCAGCCAGTTCTCCCAGCACCATTTGTTAAATAGGGAATCTTTTCCCCAATTTATATTTTTCATAGGCTTATCAAAGATCAAATGACAATAATAAGAGTCTGGGTTCATCTCTTAGTTCTCAATTCCATACATCTACCTCTCTATTTTTGTGCCAGTACCATGCTGTTTGGATCACTATAGATTTATAGTATAAAGTCTGGGGGCGTGATTCTTCCCGATTTGTTTTTATTTCTGAATGTCTTGGCTATTCAAGGTTTTTCTGGTTCCATGCAAAATGAAGTACCATTTTTTCCAGATCTTTAAAGTACGACAGGGATTGCATTAAAATTATATATTGCTTTGGGTAATATGGACATTTTAACAATGTTGATTCTTCCCAGCCATGAACATGGTATGTTTTTCCATTTGTTAACATCTTCAGCTATTTCTTTTCTCAGAGTTTCATAATTCTCTTTATACAGATCTTTCACATCCTTTGTTAGGTAAATTCCCAAATATTTCATCTTCTTTGGCACTACTGTAAAAGGAATAGAATCCTTGACTGTTTTTTCAGCTTAACTATTATTGGTATACATAAAAGCTACTGATTTGTGAGTGCTGATTTTGTATCCTGAGATACTACTGTATTCCTTGAACACTTCTAAGAGTTTTATAGTTGAGTCCCTGGGGTTTTCCAGGTATAAAATTATATCATCTGCGAAGAGTGAAATTGTGATCTCCTCTGACCCTATTTGGACACCCTTGATCACCTTCTCTTCCCTGATTGCCATGGCTAAGACTTCCATTACGATGTTAAAAAGCAGTGGAGACAATGGGCAACCTTGCCTGATTCTTGGAGAGAGTGCAGGGGAAACAGTTGAAGAAACTGGCCTGGGAGAATACTTTATAAGGAGGTCTCCCCCACCCCAGGCAATCTAAGCAACACCAAAAATTACTAGGATCTGATCAAACTAAAAAGCTTCTGCACAGCCAAGAACATAGTAAGTAAAGCAAGTAGACAGCTCTCAGAATGGGAGAGGATATTTGCACGTTATATTTCTGACAAAGGTTTGATAACCAGAATCCACAGAGAACTCAAACTTATTAATAAGAAAAGAACAAGTAATCCTATTTTTTTGTGGGCAAGGGATTTGAACAGAAGCTTCACTGAAGAAGATAGGTACGTGGCCTACAGACACATGAAAAAATGCTCATCATCTTTAATCATCAGAGAAATGCAAATCAAAACCACTTTGAGATATCATCTAACTCCAGTATTTGTGGCTCACATAACACAATCCCAAAACTACAGATGTTGGTGTGGATGCAGAGAAAAGGGAACATTTCTGCACTGCCGGTGAGAATGCAAGCTAATGCGTCCCTTTTGGAAAGAAGTATGGAAAATACTCAGGGATCTAAAAGTAGACCTGCCATTCAATCCTGCGATTCCTCTACTAGGAATATATCCAAAAGACCAAAAATCACTTTGTAACAAAGAGATTTGCACCAGATTGTTCACTGAAGCTCAATTCATAATAGCCAGGTCATGGAAGAAGCCCAAGTGCTCATCGACCCATGAATGGATTAATAAATTGTGGTATATGTATACCATGGAATATTATGCAGCCTTTAAAAAACATGGTGACTTGGCTCGGCGCCTGTGGCTCAAGCGGCTAGGGCGCCAGCCACATACACCTAGGGTGGCGGGTTCGAATCCCCAGCCCGGACCCGCCAAACAACAATGACGGCTGCAACCAAAAAATAGCCGGGCGTTGTGGCGGGCGCCTGTGGTCCCAGCTACTTGGGAGGCAGAGGCAGGAGACTCGCTTGAGCCCAGGAGTTGGAGGTTGCTGTGAGCTATAATGCCACGGCACTCTACCCAGGGGGACAGCTTGAGGCTCTGTCTCCAAAAAAAAAAAAAAAAAAAAAAACATGGTGACTTTACCTCTTTTATGTTTATATGGATGAAGCTGAAACATATCCTACTTAGTAAAGTATCTCGAGAATGGAGGAAAAAGTATGCAATGTACTCAGTACTATTATGAAACCAATTTATAGTCACTCACACTTTCACATGAAGAATAGATCACAACTATGGCCCAGGATGAGGAGTGGATGGGAGGGAAGGGGGAAGGTCAGATGGAGGGAGGGTGAGTGGTGGGATCACACCTATGGCGCCTATTGCAAGGACACATGTCGGATCTATTAAGTATAGAGTATAAATCTCTTAACATAATAATTAAGTAAATGAGATGAGGGATATATTAACCTGTACAATGTAAGCATTCCAAATTTATATGAAATCAGCACACTGTACCCCATAAATGCATTAATGTATACATGATCTACCTTTTTATGATTTAATAAAAAAATAAAAATAGCAAAAAAAAAAAAAAAAGAACCCAAGCTCCTCCAAAGCCTTCTAAGACCAGGCTCTCTCCAGCATCTTCCTGCAGTGGGGCATCTAACCCTGAACTCTAGGACATGGGCTGGCTCAGAACTTTTCAGCACAGTATTCTCCCCAAGCCCCAGCCTCTGCTCATGCTGTCCCTTTCACCTGAGCTACCCTCCTTGCCCCTTCACCCGGCTAACTCTTATTCTGTCTTCAGAACTCTACACAGCCCTCTTCCTCTCTAGAAGTCTTCCTTGATAATGTCCTGTAGC